AAATGAGTTGGAGATTGAATATCCTATATTTACAACGTGTTACAGAATCATTAATACAATTGACTTATTTTAACCTTGACTAAATTACTCTGGTAAAAATTTCGCAATTATGAAAAAAAAACTCAACTTAGAAGATCCATCGTATTTAATTAACTTCACAAAAGTAGATAAAATGGTACATGTACATTAAGTTGATTAGTCATGGCAATTCATTTTCTACATTAGGAAAAATATATTAGAAGATGACTATAATAGTTTATACGGAGATTTACTATGAGGAGTGAACTCATTAAAAAAGATATTCTTTATCTGAATTGTTTTATAATTTATTTACACCATATAATAGTACTAATAGTAATAACAATAGTAATAATGATTGAAGTCGATTGGATGTTATGTTATGTTTATTGTGATTGTTATATCAGTAATATGTTCAATATTAATTTAATCTATGCTTTTATATATTAGTTAGAAAAACATTATAAACGCTTCCTCTTTCCAATAATTAATATTTCAACAATATATATATGTACGCATACAATGACCTATATATATATAAATGGATGTAGATTTCATCAACAAATTTGTATTGTATTGTGTATATAATATTCTTTTTGTATGAATTGTGAATTAAATACGGCATCGTTACTATTATTATTACTATTATTAGCATGTATTTATGTAGGCAAAACTTCTATATAAATATGTGTATATGCTTGTAGGGATATGGTTATCATCATCATCATTCTATTGATATACTATGTTTATGAATGTACACGTATCGTTCGTTGTTTAAAAGGTTTGTCCTAATATGTATTTGCGCATATATGATCTTTATTTCGAAATGTGAACGTAAACTGTCTTCCATATATATATATATATAGGAGTTAGATAGTGTATAAACTTCATTGTAACTGAAGTCAAACGTAGAAACTATGAAAACTAGAAATCACTAAATAATTGTTTTGTCTTGATTGAAGACAATATGTTGACTGAAGTTACGAAATCCTATTCAATGGACTAAAAATATTTTTTTCCAGACTTTCAGTAGTGGTTTAGCTATGATTAGTTAGTGATTTGAAATGAATAACCATGGGCTCATTCGTGACTAGCTTCAAGGTGTCACTCATGCAGTCGTAGTGAGAAGCCGTGATCAGTTGAGTTCTATCCGTGCCGGGTGTGAAACATATATCCAAGGCAGTCAATGGAAAATGGTCACGCAGTATCATAAATTGATTAAAATTACACATTAACACCTTTGAATATCGTTTGAGTGATTTAAAAGTTAAACGTTTGCGTGCGAGGTTTCAGGTCCCGTGTTTGGTTCTCGGTTGCTGGGTCGCGGATGTGTACTGTTGAGAAGTTCCATACTGGAACGAAACGGCCATCCAGTGCTTCCAGGTTTTCAGTGTTGGTCTAGCCAAGTTCAGTTCGTTGTTCAAACTGTAAAAAGTATTGTGTTCATTGTCAGACTGGGCTCTCTCCAGAACCATTCTGTTTACTGCCATAGGTGTAGAAGTCTGAGGAATAACCAGAATAGGATGAAACAATTATCTTGTGCTTCCTGAGTTTTTTTCGTGTACACTATTTCATAATAAAAATTGTTTTTGTGTTTTTTAAATCATATGAGAACTGAGGTCAATTATTTTGGAAAATGTAAGGCACATAAGTTTTATTCTCTTCAAAATACCCCCGAATTTATTCATTACGCTTGACCTATTTCAGTGTCCATGATTTAAGACATCCTTAGATGTTTTTAAAATTCAAACATCTTAACTTCCTCATCTTTGTTTCATGTTTTGTTGTCTCCATTATCTATTAAAGCTGCCTCTTTATGACCGTTATGTGTCTTTTTAAACCAATTAAAAAGCTTAGGAAGCTATATCCAATTATTAGGTAGGGTGATCTAATGTAATGATTGAATTATTGACCAGAAATTCTCTTATGATCACTACTGAATTCACAGGTTGATTATTTTAATACGTCCAACTCCTCACAGAAATGTTTGATTCATTTGTAAAGCTTGTTTTTTCAGTGCTTTATCTTTTTGCATAGTTCATAGCACTTCATGAATTGACTTAAATTTCTTCATATATTTGGCTTGATACTTCATTTTGCGCTGTCACCATATTTATTCGACTATTAAGATTAGTTATTATGTGTGAAAATTATATTTGAAATATTCTCAGCGATTGAAATTTAACTAATTCCAACGTTTTGTCCAGCTAACTTGTCTGGACTTCTTCAGGGTAATAATTAGTATTATTGGCTTTATTCAGTATTACATTTTTGGTACAACATAAGAATTCTCAGTACAAATTATTTCAATAGGTTTCCTTTTCTTATTTATTGATCGGTCTTTGTGATAAATATTGAGTGGTCGCCGGTTAGATGTTAGCAGTTCAGGACTCTACATGTATATTCTTTTCGATGCATATTGCCAGTAACCACGATGATTCTGATCGGGCTCTTTTATAACTTTTACAGCGAAATATCTTAAACTTGAATAGGCTGTGATACTAATAGGCATAATGATGTGCCAAAACAAACATGAGAAAATATAACTTGTTGAAATATTCAGATAGCAAGAACAGGTAGCCCAGATATTCAAACAGGTCGCATCTGTCATATATATTAGATTGTTGTCGTGTGATTTACTTCCTTAGTGTTTCAAAATTACGTATAATATTCTATGATTTAATGAATTATTTGATGAATTATTTAGTTAATTGTTTATTTGATGATAATTAATTTTCGTTTTACCTAAAGTAGTTATATATACAACTAAATTTGAGAAAGTAGATCACAGGTCATATCAATCGTGTTATGTGACAGTAGTCCATGAATTCTCATTGATTTTTGTTGAATTGCTATGCGGAAGTATGAGCTAACCTGAATGAATTTTAAAGCGGAGATGGATAGTGGATAGCAATCGAATCCAAGACGCGCGTTTCGTCTTTCTCGGGACTTGTCGGCTGGATGTATCCGGATTCCAGAGTTTATGTTCACACCGAGGCTCGGACCCTGTACCGTTCATTTCAAAAGCCATCGCGTTATCCATTTAGCTACTGAGTTCTGGATTCTATTGCCAACCACTATCTATCTCTGTTTAAAAATGCTAGTGACTTATTAGGAATATCGAGGAAATCCCCACGTGATGCACATATGTCAAAAGAGACTGATCGATTCCAGTCTTAAACAACTATGAGAAGATTCAAAAAACCAATATATATGAAATAACCTATATGTACTTGTTCATATGGTCATTATCAGATCCTATGAATGATATATTTCAAGATAAAATAAACAAACTCAGAGTATCATTCAACTTACATGTTTATTCGAATTATGAACCGTTTTTGGACATTATACTAACATGTAAAGTAAATTCATCACTTTGTAAGCTCTAGTGTTTACTATATAGTGATAAATTATGTTTCATTTAAAGGCTAAGGAATGCTGTTCGTGGAAGAACAATACATTTCAATAGGTTAGTTGATTCAAGCAGGGGATATTATAAAAGGATCGTATATATATATGGTAGTCTGTAGAAACTTCCAGTTATATTACATGATTTGTCATTTGAATCAAATTACAACGAATCTATGCCAAATTTATCTCCCTCAATTTCTCTATAAATGGAAAATTTTTATTCATTCGCACTAAAAATGCATGACGTGTAACTTTTTTAGCATATTTATTTTGATAAGTAATTTTTTTTAAAAAAATAATCAAGTGTTAAATTTCACCAATGGATTAGAACTATTATAGGTATCTGTATAGAATTGCTTTTTGGATTGTTTTTGTAAATCATTTTTTTAATTGTTTTTAGAATGCTTGATTTCTTTTTGTATCTATCTGTATATACAGCTGGTACCTTTATATGAGTAATATAAATGAGTGTCAAACGAATAATTAAACCATTATATTCATGGATATTTTAGTTAAATTTACGATGCCTTAAGCAATATGAAATGGATTAAGTTAAAAATTTGGTTGATAATTGAACTTTAACGTTTTAAAAGGCAAGCTCATATTGTGACATAATGACTATAGGGTTTAATCGCTGGTGGCATCATATGTATGTATAGCTGTTCACCGGTTCTTAGTTTTCACTGGTCTCCTAGATATATCATTTGAAATGATAAATTAAAATCTATCGTTTTGTATTAGCACATTTTTCAACGACTGAAAACTAGAAGAATCAAAGAGTAATATAATAACCGAAATGACTATCACAATATAGTAAATCAATGTAGAGAAGTGAAATGCCCAAGATTTAGAGAATTACAAATGATTACATTGATGAAAAAGATTTATGGATCAAGTGAATGATTCTGGTGGAGTTGAATTCTCTGAATTTAATCAAGAAACTTTCATTGTCTTGGTAAACAACTCTATCGAGACAAATTTTTAGATTAAAGTGAAATATTACAATTTTCTTACAAATTGTTTTGTCTATATCAAATTTGACTTGGTTTTTTTCACCAAAAATTTGTTCTTTTATTGTTTGCACATTTATTTTGATTGTCTTCCTGTTTGATCTAATTTCATTCATACTGTGTTACTCAGATTCTTTACTTATTCTCGTGAATATATCCATGATATTTTCATTTAAAAAAAAATAAATCAGACTAATATACAATGAATGTATCAGTCGCTAACTGTAAAACACTTGAGATTCAATTATATAGGCTTATTTCCAATAAAAGTTTGAAGCTAAGCTACATGATCTGGAATAACAGTAGCATACGTTTGTACGTAGTTTTAAAACGATAAATTAAATGTCAAAACAGGTTACTTGGAATCGAAGTTATCAGTCAATGAGATCGAATCCTATCATTCAACAATTTAAAGAATCGTTTTTAAAAAAAATTTTTCTTAAATTTAGATTACTCAACATTATGTACTGTTTTTGATCATAATCAAAAATCCTACAAGTATATCTTTTTACTGAATTTTCTTTCAATTATTTCTTCTTAATTTTCTCATGTATACAGTGAAAGTCATTCACGATTCTATGCTAGTCAAGTGGTGTTGGCATTTGAATATCTACATCATTTAGAATTAGTCTACAGAGATTTGAAACCGGAAAACATTCTTATCGATCAATATGGATATTTAAAGGTACTTTCAACTGGTTTGCTTTTTTTTATTTATTCATGTTGATAATATCGTTTAAATTTACTCCAATATTTCACTATTTAATTGGAAATGATTGAATTCCACTTTTTCTATTTTGATCTTAACCAGTTATGTGACTGAAAGTTGATCATAAGAGAAAAATTGTACTTGACCAATGTGTTATATTTATTAGACTTTTTAACCAATAATTTTTTGTGAAGATTGTATTAATTTCAATAGTTAAGATCATGAATGAATTGAAGCTAGACCACCATGAAAAACCTGTAAGCATTGGACGACCGTTTCATCTTATTGTGAGACATCAGTGGAGTTCAACTGGGTCTATTATGAGATAATAACTTACTGATGACAATGGTGGATGTGTCACTCAATTTCATGGATTAGTTAAAGTTACACATTAACACTGTTGGATGCTGCCTGGTTCAGTGGTGTAACGGTTAAGTGCTCGCATGCGAGACTGATAAGTCCTGGGTTCTAATAAATCAATTATTTAATACCTTTTTAGTTTTCATTAGTTCCCATATATGAAAGTAATCGATGACGAAAATTAACTTTAAATTGGTTTATGTATTTTATAAAATTGAATTGGATGAAAAATATTTATAATAATAAATAAATGTACTACGATATAGAATAAAGAATAATAATTGAGTTATTATAAACAATTTCATTGTTAAGTTTTCAATGTGATCTCATCATAATCTTTTCATTAAATTGTATATTATTAAAATTAATTAGCTTAGTAATGAATGTTGTCGGATTCGATATCAAAAATATAGAGAATTTATAAATAAATTTCTTATTTTGTTTCAGTAGATATATTTGAGTTAGTATCTTGACTATACAATGTACAAATGTTACATATAAATAGAGTAATATTAAGTCATATTGACAAGCATAATCTTGAGTGCTGTCGCTAATTTTTAGTCTCAGCCATGTTGGTTGATGTAGACTACTTGGTCGGGGTTCGTGCGACTATCGTAACCAATGGTTGGAGACTGTGGGTGACGCGGCTCAGAATCGATCACAGTGGTGTAGGTGTATACACTCTCTGTCTTCCTTTAAACTATGAGATTAAAATTATTTCATATCTTTCTTTGTACAAACTAATTCTTTCTTTCTGTACTATATTCTTACATAAAAATCTTTTCTTTATATATTACACCATTTAGTTAACTGGTTCTATGAATCCGGTGTTCGTCATGCTGTGCTAGTGAGGTGTGGCAACTTGGACCGATGCATGTATGTGTTTGGTCCTACGTTGTAACTGACTGACTGACAAGCATAGTCTGTTTGAATTGTCATGTTATATATCGTTTGTAGATTTGGAAACATATTTTGTAATATGACTACATAGTGATAATAATCACAAAAACCTTGAAGAAGATATTCAGTATTTATATTGTCTATTTAAATCTTCCCATTAATGTGAATATCAACTCTCAAACAACAGGTATATCCAATTGATATGTCCCGAATGGGACGAGACAGGCATCCTGGATTCCACTACTAGCCATCATCGATCTCTGCTTAAGATTTAGTATATGATTAACGATCTTTTCGAAACATTATTTGTGTCTATGGTGAAACCATCTGAGTGAGTAATGCCACAATTAGACAATTGTAGGGTATTGATGGCAAATAAGTTGACACTGTTGTGAATCTTCAAATTCTGAGGTGGTTAGGACATTTGTTATTTGAAGTTATTCCTTTCATATTATTCTGATGAGACATGTTGGTTAACATAGGGATATGTTGGAAGGGGAAGGATAATGTCAGTCAAACTAAGTTATGATAGTCGTTTTCGAAGAGATTGATCACTGTTAAAAGCCTTGTTGACTTCCGTTTTGAGAGCTCGACAATAATCATGAATTACAATTGAAATCCTTAGATATGATGGCTGAGAATTGATGGTTTTACTAAAGTTTTTTTCTCTCTTGAAATTCTAAGTCTATTGTCACTGTAGAGTTTTCAAACTATTTTTTTATGTATTGCCAATGGTTGTAGTCAGTATTATACTCCTCTTTACTTTTCATTCATGTTGGATTCATCACCTCACTGTTTACTGTATATAATGTGGTGATTTGAGCTGATGAAAATGTTTACCAAGTTGTATTTCTATGAATCCGGTGTTCATCTTGTGCGACTTGGCAACTTGGACCGATGCCTGGTCCTGTGTTGTAACTGACATTGTTTGCAACTGATCTATTGTTAATTTTGGCTTAGTTTTCATTGTAACCTTTGTTAATGTTTAGGGTTTATCATTTTATTGTGATATACACTATCTTGATTCTCTAAGTTACAGTCATAAAAGCGGAGAAAAAAATCACTGAACAGTTAAGTGACAACAACGGAAACTAACACGATTTCATTTTATTGATGGAACAGTGGTTAAGTGATTTAAGTGCTTTTCATATTCAACCAATAAATTGACAGTTCGAACCTCGTAATAACCTCACTAGTCATATAAACAATATGGCTTAAAGTTGAGTACATTATCCCTTTACTTTGTAACAAGAAAATTTAAGCTAACATTTGAAACGTCAGTGGGAAGATTCAGACAACTAATACAAAAATGAATTAAACTTTAACCCATTGCACAGGCTAGTGGCTATTTGTAAATGAATATCGTGATGGTGTTTGAAGCGAACTGTACTGGGTTGGAGTCCTGTAGTGTACATTAACTCTAGGTTGCAGGTACACCCAACTGACGATTCTCAAGTAGGACGAGACGCGCATCCTGAATTGCACTGCTATCTACCATCCATCTCCGCTTATAATATTTATATTAACATTGATTTAAGATTTCTGATTAAAAAGTAAACGCCTTTTTTCCTAATCCAACAATAACGATATGACTCTGATTCTTAACTCATCTGGTTTATAGCTTTTTAGATATATGATTAATACCATCTACATTTGTATGTTATTTACAAAATACACTATTTTTAATGTCATATATAAGTGTAAATAAATTAAGTAGACAACTTTCTACAACTCAGTTATTGAAAACTAGTTATGTTTTAAAAAAAAATCAATTCCATGCCAACAATATGTGACTCGAACTCACAGTAAAACGATGCATCCTATTAACAGTTGTTTTACACTTCAATTTTTAGACTGCTATCAACCAAATTATTTTCAAATCAATTATATATTAATTAAATATTTTACATTAAGCTTTGTGGTTATTTTCTTTAAAAAAATCTACTCTTGGAAGTATTTGTTTCTTGCCGTTGTTGATGTCAAGGTTTAAAAATTGATCAGTCTCTTTTTGACATTTATGCATTCTGTGTAAATTCCCTCTATATTGTCATTCAGTGGCTAACAGTAGAATCTCGGACATACATTTTGTTCTGTCTGAAACTCGTTGGTTGTTTAATTCGAAAGGTTTTGAGTTCGACCCTTGGTAAGAACATTATCAATTGGGTACAGGTATATTCAACTGAAGTGTCCCAAGTATGGCGAAACACGCATCAAACTGGATTTCACTGCTACCCACTGTCCAACTCTAATTAAATCTACTCTTGAAATTTATGGTTAGCAGTAGTAATGTTCGACAGATTTGTAGGTGAGAGATGGATAGGTCTCTGAATAAATACCATTGTGAAACAGCCAATGCGACTGCACCATTTTTGATGATCTTGATAATGTTTTTACTAGTGTAGTAGTAATATAGGTAACTTTCATACAATATTTTTTATTCGGTTTCTTAGATATCAGGAATCAGTATTGGAAAGTATTAATTAACACTATTTTTTATATTGTACATTTAAAAACAGGGTAGGGTAAATTACGGTATCTAATAAAACTTTATTGTTTAATTGCATGGATAAATTGACTAGATAATAGAAACGTTAGATGAGACGGTATGAAAGAGTATATTTATCCTTGGTTTATTAATATTGATTTTGTTGTGCAGATCTGTTTGTCCAACCACTAAATTTGCTTCTACCTCCCTGAATTTGATCGGTAACAGATAAATCGTTTGAAGTCAAAATTGAGTATTAATTCAAGACATCTTTCTATACCACATGTATTGGATACAATTTTTAGACTCTGAATATCGTCTTCTTTCTTGTTTAATTGTAGATAAATAACGCGGAAGTGTTTCTTTTGCATTTGATTATATGACACATGATCTATATTGAGAGTTATTTGAGATTAGGTAAACCCTTGTGTTTATGTACAAAAATAAGGGTATTTACGTGAACATATATGACCTTAAGCTATTGGAAGCCAAAATGTGTAACACTTTGAATAATAGTCCAGTCCGATATTAACAACAAAGTAAGTTTTTTCAAGGAATTATCTAAGCATTCTGATTACTTTACAAACTCGATTCTCAGTTTCTCTACTAGAACTGGCGTTTTACTACTTGAAATGAAATAGACGAAGCAGGGCTTTACAACCTACAACCTGATGGTCAAAAATTGAATGGCTTAACCACACACTAAATCACAACATCCACTTAAGTTTTGGATTATATCTTACAGATAACGTGGATTAATTGGTTATTGATCCACTTCCCTAAGCTTCTTACTAGAATTTCATTATTGATCCGTCTAGTATTCCATTTTACGGAAATAAAATACCAAATAAATCTTTAATTTTTCCTTCTAGGACTATTTTTTTACACTTCATTCACGTTTACGTTATCTTGCTATTTGTATTATTATTATTACGATTTTTAGTTGGGTGGTAATGGATAAAAATGTTAGACTGTTTTCTGCCTTTTTGTCACTTTAGTTTACCTAAGTAGTTGTTGTTGTTCTTCTCTCTCTGTGTGTGTTTGTAGTTTATGTATTCCCTGTATGTACATATGTATGTTTCAGTTTGTAATTGTCTAACGCAAATTGACTGGTGAATTGATTACATCATAGTACAATATTCTTAATGGTTCTCTGATATAACGAGACTTGAAACTATAAAACGTGGTTAGCATAATTACTTATTGATTCCATTACTACTAATACTATCATACACATTTATCTGATAATTTTTATTGATAGAAATAGAAACAAATACTAATGATTCTTTCACTACTTGCTACGGACTACTACTACTGTTATCTTCATTTGCTTTTCGTTCGACTGTAGTAAAGCAAATAAGTGTTGGCAGTATGAGACTATATTTATTCACGCCTATATATATATATATATATATATATATATATATATATATATATATATATATATATATATATATATATATATTACTATTTGATATACGGGATGTCAGTTCTAGTTACAACTAACAAAGTATGGTTGACAGTAAAAAAAAAAAGAAGGAAGGAAACAAACTTAGAAAACGTAATTGTGGTCTCATGAAGGAATAATTGATTGTCAGAATATTGTTTTGGAAGGTTTCATAAAATTAGTTGAAATTTTGAAAATTTATTGAAAATTATTATAATAAATACCAGGACTGTTACTATGACTGTTGATATCTGTTTACATTGGTTGATCATTAGGTAGACTAATGGTCAGTGTCAAGTTTATTTAATGCACACCGATAATTAAATTCTGTAAATCGAGTTGAAATATCACTTGTCGACTATTTTTAATTTTGAGAATTTGTGGAGATCGTGGATGCCCATTGCTGAGGAGTCCCATACTAGGACGAAACAACCGTCCAGTGTTTTCACGTTTTTAATGGTGGTCTAGCTTAGATTGACTCGTGAATTCAGCTTTGACTATTTTTAATTAATTAATATTCATTTATAAATTAATTGATCTGATGATGTAACTGATAAAAAATAGTGACTTATATTATCAATGTGTTTACTTCTGACATCTTGTAAAATTATTGTCCTATAAAATTAAATAAAGAAAATATCTATTGATATCAGGAAAATGCTACATAGAAACTAACGACTCATGAAGATAATATTCATTGATTCAGTTAAATAAACTAAATGTCATATAATGTTCCTTATAATCAATGGTGAGAATTCCAATAGATCATAATCAACGTAAAACCTAACAGATGTGTATTGTTCAAAGTTCCTGTAACATATAAACATACGTAGATGAAATTAGTAAGATGAATGGTGAAAGATTGAAAATAATGTAGCAGTAATGCAAATTGAAAAAAAGTACTAAACATTCGGTTTGATGTGGTAGGATGAGAAGGTATGTGTGAAGGAGTACAGGAATTCAAGATCAAGAAGAGCATACAGAGTAAATCCATGTAAGTGATTTTGAGTTATGTTACCTAGAATCTTCATCGATTGATCACAATCATCTCGCTGACCTTAACCAGGTAACCTACATCTATCAATATATTTTAAGCTAATCGTCAATAATTTAATGCAATGATATCATTTCTTGATTTAGGCTACCTCCAGGCTTTCTTCCAGCTTAATTCAACACTAGTAAACATCACTCATCGAAGTAGTAGGTGGTGTTCAGTTTTCCAATAGGTAGTGTAATAGGGATAAAAATTCAAGAGAGTAACGTTCGTAGTCAGTCTTCTTCATTATGATAATCGAGTAAAGATCGATTATCGTAATCAATGAATGTTAATTTTAATGGATAAAATAATATCACAATAAAACTAATAGTTCGAGTTCCTACCCAGTAAACACAGAATTCATACTGCTAATGACAAGTCTCATCTTAAAATAAAACATCTACGCGGTGTTTTCTGGGCTCAAATTACCGTTTTTTGGTGTTATTTATTGTCAAGGAAACTTGAAAGAAGACCAATTCTAACTTTTCTTATATATATATATATATATATATATATATATATATATATATATATATATATATATATATATCTTTCTGCAATCCTTTTCTTATTGAGGACTTAAAGTTGATAATTAATTTGTATTCATTAAACGATTTATGAAGTATAGTAGTTTTGTTGATAGACAAGAATTTGAAATGTAGACTATTGAATTTCAACTCAATTATCAAACGGTATCATGTTTGCCGTTAGAATTGTAAGTACTGTATGCTATTCCTTAAATTGTTGTAGAGATGGTATCCTTGAGGAACCTTTTAATTATATGAAAAATCTGTCTAGAGGTGAATGGTTCTCAAGGAGCTATTCTGGTTCATAGTGGAAACCAACATTATTTTGCATAACTTCTCGTTAAACAATAGGAAGTTTTACAAATAAGTCAGATATCACGACAAATTTGTATATTTGTTACATGTTATCCTATCGGAATTATTAATTCAGTTAATCTTGAGTAAAATATAGGAGAGATCATGATACAACAGAAGAACTGTATGTGAAGCGTAAACTAATGAAAAGTTGTTTCTTTTTTCCTGAGGATCACTCATTTAAAACTTTTTAAACGCTTAATAATCGGTCGGCATTTGGAATTGAGTTTTTTATTATTACCGAGATTATCTAGTACCAATCTCTCTTGTTCTCTCTGTATCGCCTTGTTCTTTTCTACAGACATTTTTTGTTCACTGAGTCAGATAATTTAATTCATTCTGCATTAAACGCTCAATTAGTTCATTCTGATTAATTTGTTTGTAAATCGGTTTGTTATTTCAAGTTTTAACGTTCTAATCTATCAAGGATTTCTGTTAATTATGGTTTACGGTTGACTTTCAATCATGTGATTAATTGACTTTTTCCTTTTGGGATTGATTGATTGACTGATTCTTTTTCGATATGTTCATTGATTGGAGATTAACCTAAATGCCACGGTTCTAGACATTAGTTAACATTCTTTTTTTTGATCCAGAACTTCGACGTTTTCCGAATCTAATTTGTCTGTATGGATTGTTGTCAATGGTAACATATCGTATTATTTCACTGCTAGTCGGTATTCGCTAATATGTCTACTTGTCCAACATGATGGAATTTATTTGTGAATGATATTGCATGTTTCGCTCAATTTTTAGAATAGATGGGGGAATGGTAAAGAAAAAAACGATCCATAGTTATTCAACAATAAATTGTTTAGGTGTTGATTTAGATACCCTAGAATCACATAGAGTAATTAATGAAAACAATACCTTAAGTACAGTGGCGTTATAATAGACTAAAAGAAAGGTTTGATTTAACTCAAGAGAAGTAACCACAATTATAGAAATATTTTTAATATTTTGATGATAATGATCTTACCACTTTTTCCAACTTATCAATGCATATATGTATTCAGCTTTAATTTATACTGTATGTGTGAGGATTATTGATATTAGCTGATTATACAAATCGAAATAGTCTAAACACAACTTAAATCTGTGACATTATTGGTTATGAATGTCAAATACTTTAACTACTTAGCTACTCAGTAGTGCGCACTGCTGAAGAATCCCGCAATAGGACTAAACGCTCGTCCAGTGATTCCAGGTTTTCCATGGTGGTCTAGCTTCAATTGACTCACGATCTCAACTATTGAAATTACTATAATATCCACAAAAACCCCTTTTGATATTAATTATTTGTTTAATCTCTTAATAAAGTTAATTGAATGTATTTTTTTCTATATTTTCTGTAATTTCCATAAATATTGTTTACAGATAACAGATTTTGGTTTTGCTAAACGTGTAAAAGGTAGAACATGGACTCTATGCGGTACACCAGAATATTTAGCTCCTGAAATTATTCTAAGCAAAGTAAGTTGTATCAGTAAGTTATCTTATATTTATTTAAACCCATAAATATTAATACATGGGGAAACCAAATGTATATGTTTCACACTTCGTTTGATTTGTGTGATGGCTAGGATACTATCCGGGTGCCAAAACCGAAACAGGTTGTTTTCTTAGGGGGCCACTCCCAGAGCTTTTGACCTAGAAATCTAATCCACAAGGCGGTGAAGTATCGTTAGGAGATGCAATCTCATGGTAGCCGGTAACCAACAGTAGATCCATACACCATTCGTTCCTTTAGGGTTGTGGAGCGCATGTACACCATTGATTTGGATTAATAGTTTTTCGATTCCCTTAGGTGGATCCTCCATATTCTAAGCAAGGTAAGTTATATCAATAAATTATCACAAATATTTGACTTTTATTAAGAAAAACTCATCATTTAAATTATAAATAATTCCATTTATATTCTTTAAGTATATGATGTAGTGTTTTTACTAGGATACTACTCAATTTCACACATGGTTAATTTACATTTTTATTAAGTAATTGGAATAATTAAAATGTCAAATCAAATAATACATTTAGAAGGTGTTTATAATAATTGAACTGGGAAATTTCATAACACAGGGAAAAATATATCAATTACTCAGTAACTAAGATAGAGGTGATACAAATATTTCTTGGTTCAATGTTCATTATGTTAGTATCCAACAACCTCAAATGACAGCAAGAATTATTTTTTAATATTACATCAGCTTAAAGCTTCAGTATTGTATTTGTTTAACACTAGTGTACATGATCAAGATCAGTGCTCTATACTTCTGTCTCTAAAAATGCCTTTATTACATAAGTTTGTTATAAGCTTATTAGCACAATACTGAAAAAGCTTTTGGTTAACTCCTTGGATTTCCGTATATGCTTGTCTGTAAGTTATAATTAATGTGCTAGACATAATAGTCTTACCAGGATTTTCTAGTTCAAAGTAGATGAAGCCGTGTTTACATCTTCAATCCGTTCAACTACTGTTGATTCATAGCGTAATATGATATTTTAATGATGTAGGTAAATATTGACCAGACGAAACTTTTCGGAGAGTGGTTTTTATCATATTCCACGTAGTTTCGCGCATGATTTACGTTTACTTTTACTGTATAGACAATATAGCACATTTGAAATGTGTAATTTTGTTCTCATCTCTCTGGCACATTGTTTGTGTGAGGGATAGTGATACTATTCATCTGTCCAGACTAAAGTTGGGTGAAGTGGAGTTGGCATCTTTGACTTATTAATAGAGAGTCCAGTATTTTAATTACTATTTCATTCTATTTTTCAAAGAAATTTACTCAGTCATTTTCATTACATTGGACATCAACATACCTTATGCGTTTATTCAATATTTTGTTTAATAGACTATAACGTTTTACTACTTTCTTGTCATTCTTTAGTTCGTACTTCTCATCTTATTATTTCTACTTAACTTGTTCTAGTATTTACGTCTTTATTCTTACTTGACAACTGTCAATAGTTGATTGTGTAAGAAAACTTTTCAAATCTCATACTATCAAGTAGTTTATTCAATTAATCCTTGGAACATGATAATTGACCACCCATTCACATTTATCTTTGAATTAATCCCACAACAATTCATAATTATAGCGAGACTATAATTTTGAGATGAACTAATCAGACTTAAAATAGCACATCTTAGATTATAGCCCGAAATTTTTATGGTTCATATAACTAAATACAATTTTGGAATTATAGTCAATGTCAGTTCGTGATGAAAACGCTAATTCTAATTCCTAACCCCTAACGTCCTAATCTTAATTCCTTACACTAATTTACAAACCTCATTTAATCATAGTAAGTAGGTGGACATTCTCAAAATCACCGAAGTATTACTCAAAGATCTCACCATTTATAGATCTCAATTGTAATTTCTTTCATTGTTCTGAATGATCTATATATTGCTAAATATAATCATATATATGTTAAATGAGTAAATTTTCATTTGTATCTCACAAGTAACAACTTGTTTAACTATCCTTCAAATTTATCTACTCATCATATTATAAAAAAAAGAATGAATTACATGTAACATACTTAAAGTCTCTTATAATTGTGTTTCCTTTTTCTTTTGTATTCGACAAACACATTCAATTTTACAGTACATACACAATCTTTCTTATTTTTCTTTTCATTCATTTATCCTAGCAGTTTTCATTTTTTTTATTTATTTTGTCATTGATTTATCTAAAATCTGATGAAGTGTAAATACTTTAACTATTATCAATTTACATATCAATATACATGATAAGAGACATGTATTACCTTTTGCTAGTGTCTCTCTGTGTGTGTGTGTGTTTCCTACCTGTTTTAATTATTCCTTTACTACTTTTGAGATTCACCTGATCTATTGATTTATTCTGTATTCTTACACTTTTTTCTGCACTGGTCAACTTTTTGTAAATAAATATAGTTTCTTATGCAGTTGCATAATTTCACTATGTATCAGTACAGAAAGAAAAAACACACAAGAACACATTGAAGAATCTTGACATATTTAATGTTTTCTCCCATTACTAATTGTAATATTGTTTTTTTTTGGTGTGTATCATAAATGTTTTGTTTTTTTGTATCTGTTTATTGACGTGCTTATATTTGTATGATGTATTCATCATAGATTGATCTCATTTGTAATATTATTGTAAATCAAACGATGGTAAACAGATACCTCGTCCTACAACTTGACTCATCAACAATACGTGACTACGAGCTTATTAAGGATAGAGTCCGGGAGCTTCACGTATCATGATGAATGTTTAATGATTAGAATTTATGGGTAGAATTTCAACTCATTTGTGATGATATAGCGTAACGATCATCTGATACGTTTGGTGAAAGTTGTTTCTTTTTTGATATGTCTGATGAGGGGTAGCATAAGGGTTGTATTGATTTCATACATTTTCTGAAGTAATGAGTTTACTCTGAGGACTGTTATCGGAATCTAATTAAATATGAGAACAAATTAACCTAATCGACAGTAAGTTAGAATTAAGTCTTTTTTTAGAAGTTATCCATATCCATTACCTACAGTATTCAATCTAGGAACCGAGTCTCGCGTGCTTGATCGTGGTTGCATAATGCTGAGGAGTTGGATGCCAGGACGAAATGGCAGTCCAGTACTTCCAGGTTTTAAATGATTGTCTAACATTGATCAGTTCATGATTTCAACTAAAATATTTGGAGAAATAATCATCACTCCTTGACATATTATATGAGTATATGATATGTGCTGCGTATGCTGACAGATATAAGTAGTATGTATCAGCAATCGGAAGTGGAATGTCTGCGAGCAGAAAATTGAATTGAAGAGAACAGGAATGGAAACAGAACAACATAATTTGAATATTTATGAAGTATTTAATGGACAACTGATGGAAGATGTGCAAATAATGATTTTAATGTATGATTTTCATATCTTATGAAGGCACTGTGTAATTTTGCGCTAAACAATAAATTGGTCATCCCCACCAAGTTGCGTCCACTTTAGTATATATATATATATATATATATATCTTCCAAATGTTTATTTATCATATATAAATACGAAAAATATCCAACTGAAAATAATGTTAGACTGATGTAAATTTAATAATTAAGGAGTAAAGACAATTCAATGAAGGTGACAACCAGGTCTGTTGTGAGATATCAGCTCACTGAAGACAATGATGTATGGTGGCGCAACTTCGTGGATTGGTTGAAGTTAGACATTAACACCATTGGATGCCGGCTCAGTGGTCTAGTCGGTTAAACGCCTTGCACTAGACTGATAGGTCGTTAGTTGGAATCTAGCGGGGGGTGCGGGATCGTGAATGCGCACTGCTGAGGAGTCCCTTACCGGGACGGAGCCTTCGTCCAGTGCTTCCAGGTTTTCCATGTTGGTCTAGCTTCAATTGAATCATGATTTCAATTTGTGAAAATCACGAAAAACTTGAAAAGGTTCATTATCTTTCATAGTTTACTTTTGATTCAATAACTAACCTTTAAAACACTATTTGGCTTCCATTTTGATATTTTACACTTCCAATCAGTTTATTACGTAATGGGATTCTATTTTTCTAACAAACTACTAATCTGTAAATATATTAAGTGAATGTGAATACGATTTTTCTGTTTTATTAAATGATATTAATATATACAAAGTTTTTTTTTCGCTGCATAGTCTTTACTTGTTTAATATTACCGTAGATAGATCTCTTTCGTTGTATAAATTAAGAATGAATAAGAAGTCTTGAAATAACCATTAATTTTTTCTACTGAAATTACAAATTTATTATCCTTTAGTTTTTCTTCTTTAATTTCTGTACATATTTTATTATAAATAGGGAAATTAAAGAGAAACAATGCTTATTTATTCAGTAATAAGTCGCCTTGAATTTCATCTAGACACTCTAGAATTACTGAGAGTATACAATGAAAATAATATTTTGAAGATGGTAACGTGGATTGGATTGTGGTTAGATTTTTATACCGTTGGATAGCAGCTCAGTGGCCTAGAAGTTAAGCGTTCTCATGCGAGACCATAGGTCGTATAGTAGGATGAGCCAATGATTCAGTGTCCCCAGGTTTTTGCAATGGTTGTCTAACTTAGATCGGTCCGCGATTTCAATGCAATTCTAATACCCTCCACAACTCATTCCGACAGTTATGTGCTCATTAGTGACTAGCCTCAAGAGGAAATTTCCTTAGCTTCAGTTAGAAGTCATAATAAGTGGAGCTTATTTGTTTATTTGAGGTTGGTATCCACTGAAAATAATAGATGTTCGCGCAATATCGTGGATTTATTAAAGTTAATCTTGTATACTATTGGATTCTAGCTCCTAAGGTTAAGTGCTCGCGCTCAAAACTGAAACTCCTTGGCTTTTGTCTCAATTGTTGGGTCGTGGATGTGCACTGTTGAGTCCTTTGTTCGATCCCCGGTGGAATCATAGTTGTATACTGTTAAGGTATTACATGAT